AAAAAATGTAATATTAATAATAAAATATTTAAAATTATTCATTTCGACAGTAATAAGATGTCGAAATAATTCCTTAAAAATCTATTCCGAAGACGAATTTCGAATTCGGTATAAATTTTCTAAATATGGATTTGTTCATATTTTAAATCGTATTGGCGACGAAATTAAATATCGAAATGGAAAAGGATTGTCATTAATTGCCGAACAATGATTTTGACGGCCTTAAGATTTTATTTCTGAAGAAGCTTTCGGAATATAGCTGACGACCATTTCTGACGTCACAAAGAAATAACCCGATTGGCCGAACGACTCCTAAAACAGGGGAGTAATAGCGAAGTAAGTAAGAGCCAATGTTTTGCCGAAGTTCGTTTAGAGAACGGTCAGAAATAGACGATCGTCGTCTTTGCAACGCATTTTAAACTGCGGTATAGGCAGTTCGTTGATAAATGTCGTTTAATGTAAACTCTGTCTCTGCAACCAGCCGATAGAGTCCAAATCTTTTAATTATTTTCCTAGTGAAACCAATCAACAGCCAGCAAACTTACAGTGGAATTTATTTTTAGATAGTTTCTTCTTCATTCAAGAGGAAAAAACTAAGGAAAATTTCCTGAATTTAGTTTTGTAAAGAGATATAAAAATATTAAATGTGTGCTTGTTTTGTAATACAAAAAACAGAGATCATATTTTTATTGTTTTCATAATGAATGATTACACTCCAAAAATGTCAACGTCTTTCAGGGATACGTGAATCTTTTAACATCTCCCGAATACTCCAAAACGACTCATCTCAAGATTATAGAAATATTTTAAACAGTCTGAACTGAATAAAAAAGATCTCTACAGTCTGTATAACTTTTNATCTTATATTTCAACTTAAGCAAAAAGTTCAAAATACTAAGAAGGAATGAAAGCAGCAGAAGCTGTTTTTGCTACAAGAAGAGTCCCAGATGACTCAAAGCATCAGTATGTCACCTAGTTGCAGGTGACATATCCTAGGACCAAACTGATGAATCAAAATGAATAGATGTAAGAAACAAAGAAAACTTTCGGACACTTCCCATTGTGACCACAATTGTGCAGAAAGCACCATTCTAAATCATGTGCAAAAATGTGTCAAAAAGTTGGAGAGACTACATTTATTGGAAGGACTCAGAGAAACTAATTATATATTTTGCAAATAAACCCTGTAAAGAAGGCACCTTAACCCTATGAAACCTTACACACACTCTCTCTCTCACTAAAACTCATAAGATAAGACAAATGTGAAACAAATCTTTATCTGAATTAAATACTTTCTAAATGATTTACATAATGTAATGAGTCATCCTTCTTCCACATTCATATGCCATTTACCAAAATCTTTTAATCATATAAATGTAGTAACATTCAAAAATTTTAATAGAACATGTATAAAATTTTTCAATAGTTTTTCAAATAGTTAGTTCAAATTTTTCAATAATTTTAATAAAAGTTTAAAACCTTACTCTCGTTTAGCTTTTGCTTCTAGTAATTTTGGATCAGTAATACTTCCACCTGCATCCGCTTTTTTCTCTAAATAAGCTGATGGAACCCAGCCTTCTTTCACTTCTTGAGAAACTTCACATGGTCTTGTTTTTACCTGCCACCTATTTTATACAGTAAATAATAATATGATTACCTATTTAATAATTTAATTGGAACTGATACAAAATAATAAAAATAATGAAATATACAAATACTAAATAGCAATGAGAAATATTCTTCTATTCATGATTATACAATGTGTTTGATAATGACTTAAAAAAAACTGTTCATTATATATAAGAGTTAATATTATTATTCAATAGTTACAAGAATTTATTTTTTGTTTTCTATTAATTTGTAATGCAACTACATTTAATAATTAGCATATAAAAACACCATTAGAATTACAAATTTTCATTTTATAAAAATGAAATACAAATGTTTTATTCATAAGAAAACTTTTTTCTTATAAACAATTTGATTTAACAATCTGATTTTATAAAAAAAATTAAAGTTAATTCTATAAGCTGCTCTAAACAAAACAAAACAAAACTTCTGTAAAATTAGCATAATAACTCAAAAAATATAAGAGTATTTATTTACATTAATATCACATTATATTTATTATTTTAATGATGATTAATAAATTCATGTTTTACTTGAATTGGCTGATATTATTGATAAATAAATAACACTCAGAATATAAATCCTAGTACATAAACCATATGTCCACCAATAGTCAAACATATTTTCTGTCTGGTTTTGGTTTTTTTCATTTGTCGTCATATTTTTATATTCATTATACTGAATATATAAATAAGATGATAAAAATAGACTAAACATAGTATCTAGTCTACTTCTAATAGTTCAATTAACTAGAATATTTCTCAGATATTAACAATTCTGGGTCTTAAACTTTTTTCCCCTCTGTCTATCTCTCTCTCTCATGCATGTATGATATATAAAAATTATTATACAGTATATATATAATTATATTATTATAATCAATCGTAATTATATATATATTAATAATATACATTTATACTAGTGGGCAATCTAGCAGCAGTAGTGTCATTCCATGGTATAAATAATAAATTCATATTACAGATTAAAATAATAATATACTGAATTTCTCATAGTGTACCCTACTAAAACATAGTCAAAAACGCAAAAGCTTGCATCTAAAATAGTACAGTAGAAGCCGAGTTCTTAAGGATAATCCTTAACCCTCTCCCCAGCGGGGGAATTTTAAAAACTCCCTTCTTAATGTGCATTCTCATGGCATACCCTACTAAAATGCAGTCAAAAATGCAAAAAACTGCATTTATTGTTAATTTAAATAAAAGCTAGGGACGTCCCTAGTGGCCATTCTAGACATACCGTTACAGATATATGAACATGCAATCAATGGCTTATATTATTAGATTATTAAATGGTAGTTGCATTATAATTTAATAGAAATTATTGAACTATATATATCAGTGGCATGCCGTCATTAGAAGCGTTGGAAGTGCCGCTTCCCTCGTATTCTCTAAAAAATAAATAAATATTAATTTTAATTATATGAAAATAATCGCACAATATTTTATTATAACCGCATTATGTATCTTATTACAAATTTCTATACTACACGTGGAAAAAAACAAAACAAAAAATTGCTATTGTATATTAGAATATTAGTGACGGAGTGTAATCTCCTGTATTTTCAGATTACGAAAAGCCAGATTTGCGCATGCGCTTTACAGAGCACCAACCTCACCCGGTTTAGCCGGTGGAAGCCTACGACCTTGGGTGAAAGCTGCACACATATAAAGATTCCAATTCTATCAAGGACCGGTTCTGGGCT